GCTTTCACCTAGAAAGAGGTACATATACCTCAAAGAGGTCAAAGACAGAAAGAGAGGTGCTACATATGCCAAAATATTTATAGCTGAACTTTTTATGATAAGAAAGAATTGGCAACAGTGTATATATGCTTATCAGCTGGGGAATATGCCTGAATGAACTGTGATAAATAAATATAATGGAATATTGTTGTGCCATAAGAAATGATGAATACAAAGAATTCAGAGAAGCATAGAAATATTTCAATTGATGCAGAGTAGAGTAAGCCAAATCAGAAAAACAATATACTACAATAACATAACTGGAGAAAAATTAAAAATAATTTTAATAAATACAGGATAGGAAAAAAACTGGATAGAGCAGGTTGTGTGAAATAGACAATGGTTTTAGTTTACTGCTGGCTGAATATGAATCTGTAATGAAATGTGGTAGCTGAATAAGCTGATTTGATCTTAAACTACATTAATAAAAATATGAAATTAGGAATAAGGGTGGGGGGAGGGTAACCATTCCATTGTATTCTACACTGGTCAGCCCATATCTCAAGTATTTATGTTGAATTATTCTTCGTATCACATTTTGAGAGGGACGTTAATAAAGTGGAGAATAGCTGGAGGTCTTGAAAATATGAGGTAATATGAGGTAATATAAAATATGGCTGAGTGAACTGGAGATGATTAACCTGAAGAAGAATCTCAAGATATGAAAACTGTCTTCACTTATTTAGAGGGCTGTCACTTGGAAGAGGGTTAAATTTATTTCATGTAGCTCCAGAGGGCAGAACCAGGGTCAATACATAAAAGTCAGAGGGGAGTAGATTTCTGTTTAATAAAAGAAAAAATTTTGACTGATGACATCAGAGCTAACAATGAGGGATGTTCCCTGTTTCTGCAGGGGTTGAATTAAGCCATGGATGGATGATGGTATAACAGGGATGTTACAGAGAGAATTCCTGCATTGGATGGTAGCTGGAATCACACTACTTCTGCTAGGAAGTCCCTTCCAAATGAGATTCATTGACTTTTTCTCTACATCCCCACAACCAGGACCGGGCAGAGGCTGAGATGCTGCTTCAGGAACAGGAAGAACCTGAGGAAGGGGAAATACCCAGTGGGGACTCCTCCCCAGAGCCTCCCACTGCCCTGGGAAGGAGGCCACAGAAAGCCCGCATGGAGGTCGAAAGGCAACGTCCTGCTCGGGAAGAGCTTTGAAGGGGTGAAAGAGAAAAAATTACTTAGAGACATCCCAACCAAAGGGGCAGGGGGAAGAGTGGTGGTGCTGCATTCATTCTGTGTACCACGCAGCCACCCACTGACATCATGAGTCCAACATCGAGTGCCTTCTACATCATAATCAACAGAACAGAGAAAGCTTCCCTCTCACTTCAAGGGTCAGAGGGGATAGAACTTCTGTTATGAACCTGGGATTGCAAGTAGGAAAAGGGGGAGGAGAGGTAATATTATGGACAGAATACCTCAGAGCCTGAAAGAGCGTGGCTTCTTGAGCATGCTGACCTCCCCAGCCTCTCTCCCCACACCCCTCTGGAGGACAAGAACAATGGAGCATTTTCCACCAAGTGATGGGAGGGGGTTAGGAGCTGGACCTGTGACCTCACTCGTAGAGGGAGTTCACAATGAGCAAACTCCCTCTCCTAAGTGATGGTAGAACAGAAAGTATTTGAGTGCTTTGGGGGGGCAGGGAGGGAAGGGAGGAAGGGTGGGAGGCCATCCCCCTCTCACAGTTAGCCTGTCACACAAAGCAATAAATGACATTCAGATCCTAAGTTTTGTACTACTTGTGAATGTAAATGTGAATGTAAAGATGGCTCACTGTGCTGCCAGGAGGTTGAGTTAAGGCCTCTAAATTTGTTAATGAAATCTCTGTCACCTGTTCTGCTCATGCAAATGGTCCAAGCCCAAAATCATCCCTCCTTTTGTGCCTCAATCTTCACTACCCACTCTTCTCTACCAAAACTTTAATGAGTTCCGGGACATTCTGACTGGCCACTCTGCTCTCCTAGGACAGGACATTTGGGGATGCTGGGGAATAGGGAGGTAGTTGTGGATGCCTGACATTGAGGAGAGGGCTAAATTGAGGTGGCCTACTCCTAACCTTGGTTCTCTAGTCTTGGATCCAGACAGGCCCCCCACCCTCCACATTCTGCCCCTTTTACATTCAGCCCTTCCCCTAAAGGTAAGACCTGTGGACAGCTGGTAGGGGTTTTGGGGAGGGAGATTATCCAGATCAGTCTCCTTTAATCTCATCTCTGTTTTCTGGGTGATGTCCCCCCCTTCTCATAAACCCTTCTGGCTGTTGGTGATTCCATCAGTCCTAGGGAGCCACTTACTCTTGGCTGGTGGAGAAGGGTATTTGTCAACATCATCATCCCTAACCCTCACCCTATTCCCTGTTCTGGAATCTGGGCTGGATCTTCCCCCTCCTAGGATAATCTCAATTAGGAGTTATTGTTGCTATCATTTTTGTCCCCCTCCTTCCAACAACAACAACAAAAGTCTGACCCCCTAATCCTCAACAGCTTTAGTCTAATCCCAGCTGTGGTTTGATGCTCTTATCTCTGCCATCAGAGAGGTGTCCTGGTAAGCACATGCTCCTCCTCCCCCACCCCTATCTTTCCTTAATGCCCTCCAACTAAGAAGACAGGGGAACATTGCAAGGGAACCTGGCCCTCTCTGGCAGTCTCCACCAAGGCTCAGCCCTACACTGCCCTCTCCCCATCTAGTTCCAGCCTTTTCCCCTTAGGTCCCTGACAATATCCTAACTGTCCTGACCTTAACCTTCCACTCCAGTCCTTCCCCTTCCCCACCTGGTTTTACCCACCCCCTACCTCACTGGGACCAGGCCAGTCTCCAGCAGTAGAGCTGGGGCAGCTGACCCAAGGGCATTGGACCGGAGGCAAGGGAGAAGGAGTCAAGATCCAGAGCAAGATCAAATCTAATTTCAAGTAAGGACTGGTCCTGCTACTGTGGCAGAGTGGGAAGGGCTGGAGGGATTGCTCTGGTGAACTTTGGGTGGGAGTGAACCTAACATAACTGAACTTAGAGGGAATGGGGCAAGAGGGTAACCTTGTCATTTGTCCATTTGAAGGCACCCTAGGAAGGGTTTTTTCCCTTGGGAAAGGATCCCACACTGCTCCAGGTAAAAGGGTTCAATTATTTACATGGTAGAGTGGAAAGTATGTTGAACCCTAGCTTTAACACTTAGCATGGGTGATTTATTTCACTCTCTTAGCCCCTCTTCTGTCATCTATAAAATGGGTAATGGCATTTGTACCACACACCTCCCAAGGTGGTTGTGAGGAAAGTGCTTTGTAAGCCTTCAGTTTGTGTATAAATGGGAGCTATTAGCAGGAATATTACTCCTTTCTGGAGCTGTCTAGATGGAACGTGAAGGGATACAGCATAAGTGACGTGGTAAGGTCAGAAGGAGTCTTTGTGGGGTGAAGGGAGGTACAATGGTCACAGAGGTTGAGTTCCCTAATTATCTACATCCCTTTGCCAGGGCAGAAACAGGAACAGTTTCATCTATTAGCCATGGGGGAGATGGAGCAATTGCGTCAGGAAGCTGAACAGCTCAAGAAACAGATTGCGGTAATCTCCCATGCTAGAGATCCCCATACTTGTGGATTCTCCTCAACGCCATGAACCCTCTAAGCTGGCACTCTAGATCTAAGAGTATCTTACACTGGATCCCCTTCAAATTTGGGGATTCCTCCATCCCCCAACTCATATCAGGACCCTTAGCTCCCTCCTTGTCTCCCTATTGCCCTTTCCCTACCCTGATGATTGCTTTCCCCTCAGGATGCCCGGAAAGCCTGTGCTGACACCACCCTGGCAGAGGTAAGAGCTTTTCCACCAAAGCAAATGAGAATTGGGGTCAGGGGTTTGAAAGTGGAGAAAAAGATTGGTGGAATTCAGGATTTCATGCTCAGAGTCACATTGTAGGAGAGGACAGTCCAGGGATGGGGTGGGATCAGCATGCAGGAACCTAGGTAGCCTCTAAAGCTCTAATTAGCCTCTATCCTTCATAGCTTACTTCTGGTCTAGAGGTTGTTGGGCGGATTCAGATGCGGACACGCCGGACTCTCCGTGGACACTTGGCCAAGATCTATGCCATGCATTGGTCTACTGACTCCAAGTGAGTTGAAGAAGAAGGACCTAGGATAGGGAAGAAAAGGGAGAAATCCTTGAGTAACCTGGATGCCTTACTCTCTCTTTAGGCTGCTAGTGAGTGCTTCACAGGATGGGAAGCTGATTGTGTGGGATACCTATACAACCAACAAGGTGCCTGTCTGATCTGTCCCCATCCACCCTGAAGTACTTTCCCCATTACCCAGGCAAAGCCCCTTTCCTACTGCCGTGCTTCTTGGACCTACCTCTATTTCCTTCTCTAACTTATCCTCCTCCCTCTTCTGTTCTAAACCTGCTACTACCAGTCCTTATGACATTCTGCTCTCCCCTGCCAGGTCCATGCCATCCCGCTTCGTTCCTCTTGGGTCATGACCTGTGCCTATGCTCCATCGGGAAACTTCGTGGCATGTGGGGGGCTGGACAATATGTGTTCCATCTACAGCCTCAAATCCCGCGAGGGCAATGTCAAAGTCAGCCGGGAGCTCTCTGCCCACACAGGTGAGATCCCTGCCGGAGGAGAGCCTCTCACACTGAGACTTTGGCCCTAGGTTCCACCTCCACATGAAGAAGAAGGCTTAGCCTTCCTTCAGGCTCAGCCACTACCCCTGGTGGCAGCCCTTCTATCCCCAACAGGTTACCTCTCCTGCTGCCGATTCTTAGATGACAACAACATTGTGACCAGCTCTGGAGATACCACATGGTAACAAAGAAGGGATTGTAGGAGCCAATGCTTTTGGGGGGTTGGGAAATGTAGGCATCAAAACAATGTACTTTTGGGGGAGATGCTGCTACTGTTTTCTCCTACTCATGTTTCTGTCATACTGCCTACAGTGCTCTGTGGGACATTGAGACTGGGCAGCAGAAGATGGTGTTTTTGGGCCACACAGGAGATTGCATGAGCCTGGCTGTTTCTCCCGATTTCAAACTCTTTATTTCTGGGGCCTGCGATGCCAGTGCCAAGCTGTGGGATGTCCGAGAGGGGACTTGCCGCCAAACTTTCACTGGGCACGAGTCCGACATCAATGCTATCTGTGTATGTACCTCTTACTTTCTACATAAAGTAGAGTAATATTATTATAAATATAACATAAATATAAATATAATACATATAATATAATATAAATATAAAATATAAAAAATAAAGTAATGGAAACTCCATTACTTCACTAACATAAATTTTATTGAGGACTTTGGCCTTTGTATCACAATTATTTCTTCCTCATCCCCTCAAAACCAAACTCTCTCCATATGAACAAATTAAAAAAACAATTAAGTGAAAGCATCTGATATAAGGCTGCCTGATCATGTAGAAAATATTCAGTCCTAGTAATTCTCCACCTCTCTGCTCTCAGGGAGAAGTTTCATTATTTTTCCTCTTGGATGGATCTTCACTGGTTTTACCGTTATTCAGAATTCAATGTCTTTTTTTTCTTTTTTTGGCAATTGGGGTTAAGTGACTTGCCCAGAGTCACACAGTTAGGAAGTGTCAAGTGTTTGGTCTGAGGCCAGATTTGAACTCAGGTCCTCCTGACTTCAGGGCTGGTGCTCTATCCACTGTGCCACGTAGTTGCCCCTTCAATGTCCTTTTGGTGATCATTTTATTTACACCCCACACCTACAATTTGTTTCCCCTTCCCTTACTCTAGCTAATCTGCCTTACTACAGCCCTCCCACCTCTAACTTCTGGACTTGGCCCAGCTCTTTTTACATCGCCCAAACCCTTAAGAACCACAGGCTTTAAAACCAAAGCAGAGGATGGGGGAGGGGCAGCTACGTGGCACAGTAGATAGAGCGCTGGCCCTGGAGGCAGGAGAACCTGAGTTCAAATCCGGCCTCAGATACTTACCAGCTGTGTGACCTTGGGCAAGTCACTTAATCTCAATTGCCCCCCCCCATAAAACCAAAGTCTGGGTCCTAATTGTATCAGGAGGCAGAAAACAGGGAATTGTCAAGCTCTGGGATCACAGAGGGCCAGGGTTTGAAGTAGAAGGGAAATTGCTTATGGAAGGTTAAACAAATAGGGGATAGTGTTCCTTAAAAGGGCCCCCCCAATGTGATTTTTGTCTTGCTTCTTCTCAGTTCTTCCCCAATGGTGAAGCAATTTGTACTGGCTCAGATGATGCCACCTGTCGTCTCTTCGACCTTCGGGCTGACCAGGAGCTGATCACGTACTCCCACGAAAGCATCATCTGTGGCATTACATCAGTTGCCTTCTCCCTAAGTGGCCGCCTGTTGCTGGCTGGCTATGATGACTTTAACTGCAACATCTGGGACTCCATGAAGGGTGAACGTGTTGGTAAGGTTGCCCTTTTCTTCAGACTAAGTCTCTGGTTCCTTCCAACATCCTCTCTTTCCCTGTTTAGGACCTTTGCACCTGTCGTCCGTGATCCGAAACTTTCCTACCAGCTACAACTCAAGAGGCTCTCCCCATACTTCAGTTCAGTCATTTTCAGTCATGTCTGACTATTCGTGACCCCATGTGGGGTTTTCTTGGCAAAGATACTGGTTTGCCATTGCCTTCTCCAGTTCATTTTACAGATGAGAAAACTGAGGCAGACAGGGTTAAGTGACTTGCCCAAGATCACATAGCTACTAAGTGTCTGAGGACAGATTTGAACTCAGGAAGACTCATCTTCCTGACTCCAGGCCCAGCACTCTGTGCACTGTGGCGCCCCCTAGCTGCCTCTATCTCTCCATACTACTATCTCTCAATTTCAAGATCATACTGACCACCACACCCCATGGTCCACGACCATCTTGTTCAATTAAGATACTCGAGGATCATCCCATGTAGTCATTTCCATTTTCTTATCTACATAATGATACTTACATTAGCTAGCTCACACAATTGTCCTAAGTAAAGTACTTTGTGCTTAAAATGCCATGTGAATGGGGATTATTACTGTTATTTTTGTACCACATTCAAGTTAAAATGTTATGAGGGGAAGGGAATAAGTATTTAAAGAGTAGCTATCATATGCCAGGCATTGTGCTGAGCACTTTACAAATATTATTTCAGTTGATCCTCACTTGCAAGGTAGCTGCTGTTATTATCCCAATTTTACAGTTGAGGAAACTGAGTCAAATGGAGGCTAAACGACTCATTCAGGGTTACACAGCTAGTAAGTGTCTGAGGCCAGATTTGAACTCAGATCTTCCTGACTCCAAGTCCAGGTTTCTATCCATTACATCATCTAACTGCCTTAAATGATTCCCTTAAAGGGATCTTTAAAAAAAGATCAGATGGAAAGATGTTTAAGACTTGGAACCAGGACATCAGGATTCTACTTCTGGCTCCCCTGTTAACCAGCTTTGTGATCTTAGTCAAGTCATTTCACTTCTTGGGTCTCATTTTTTCTCTCTGTAATGTGGAGAGGGGCTGTATGAGTCCCCTTCCATTTCTATGGTTTTATTACTACTCAGGTATCCTATTATGGGCAGCTAGGTGGAGTCAGGAAGACCTGAATTCAAATTCAACCTCAGATACGTAATAGCTGTGTGATCCTGGGCAAGTCACTTTACCCTGTTTGCCTCAGTTTCCTCTAAAATGAGCTGAAGAAGGAAATGGCAAACCACTTTACTATCCTTGCCAAGAAAACTCCAAATGGGGTCATGAAGGATTGGACACAACTGAATAGCAACAACATAAGACCCTATTCTTTCTAATCTTTCCACAGCTGATGCCCCTGATTCTCTACAAGTAGCTGTATTTAGCATTGAGAGATCAAGTTGGGAAAAACAGAGGGAGCATTCCCAGAATTCCCTGTTGGTCATGGAGTCAAAGGATCTGAGTTCAAATCCACTTAAGATCTTAGGGTCTCAGTTTTCTCATCTTTAAAATGCGGGAAGGTTGGACTTGATGACTGAAAATCCTTTCCATCTCGACATGTATGATACTATGGTCTTCTCCATTCCTAGTTCTAACGATTATCTAATGATCTAGGACCATCCCATTCCCTTCATCAGAGAACAGTGAAAGATGAGGATGTAAATGTCTGAATGTGGGCCCTTCTATACTACCAAGCCACAGACTAGGCAGTTCTGGGTCCAGGCCAAATCAGCAGTAACAGAAATGAGCCCCTCAGGGTGTCTGAAAATTAATTCTCTGGCCCAGGTCTTTAGGATTAAGTACTTGGGAAACATCCAGGTATATCAGGGTACTCAGAGGAGTTTCCCCTGGGATTCACTGACCTGTTCTTGACCCAAATGGAAAGGGATAAGCTAGGGCCGCCTCGCCCCTGAGAATAACCTTGTCCTTGCCTCCTCCAGCTTTCACCAGAGAACACAGAGAACTCCCTCCTCCTCCTTCATTATAACCACAAGGACCTGCGTTTCCTTTATCCCCGAGCAGAGGGGAATGTCTTTTCTAATGGGCTCTTTGACACATAGGAAATCCCATTGGCTTGTGTGGAGAAGAGAGAACCCTTTCTTTCAGGAAACAGTTCTTTTCCCCATGGATGCAGGCTGCCATTGATCAGAATACTTTCTTCTCTGCTCAAACCCAGAGGTCTAGAGGCTTATCTTGCTTTTCCATAGGGACCCTCTCAGGCCATGACAACAGAGTCAGTTGCCTGGGGATTACAGCTGATGGGATGGCAGTGGCCACAGGCTCCTGGGACAGCTTCCTCAAGATCTGGAACTGAAGAGGGTGGCACAAGATGGGAGATAAGGGACAGTTTGGATCTCTGGTAGCCTGCATCCTGTTGAAGACTTGAACTCACCTGCTACCATTTCCTCAGTGCTTCCCCTTAGAGGGCAGGTAGGATTTAGGAAACATAGAGAAGAGCATGGCAAGCAGCAAAGCCTGGGACAGGATGGCCGTATGGGTCCCCTTCCCTACATATTTGTGCAGTTTTCCCCCTACCTTCCTCAATGACCATTCTGACCCCTATCTAGCCTCTTCCTCTTCCTTTCTAAACACCCTTCACGGTCTCTAAAATAAGATGGCTGGCTCTGACAGGAAGCGAGGACTTAGAAGGCCCTGGGTTCCTCACCAATAGTTTCAGCAACCGCCATAGAAGGCCAGACCTAGAAGGTATAATTAGGCATTACTGGGGTGAACCAGAACCTTATCCTCCTCTCTGTGCCCTGCTTCAGGACCCTCTTTAACCTTTGTTCCTTTTCCTTATGTCCCTTCTTTTCTAGCTCAGATTCAATAAAAGGCAGCCCTATCATAATACCAATCTTTGTGAATTGACTCACATTCATTCCTCTTGTTCAAGGGGCCCAAGACGCACCCCTCCAAAAATCTTCACACCCTCTATTAGGTGACCCAGGAGCAACTGAAGCTTCTCTTTCCGTCAACACGGAGGGTTAAAAACTATAGGGCCTAAATCCTCCTGAACTTTCCAGAGGTCCAGGAACGGGGAAAGAATGAGCTTAGGCAGAACTACAAACTAATAGTGATAATTCCTAGGCATTATGAGAGAGAAAGGGTATGGTTCTATTTTAAGCTCCCCAGATCAAATTTAGAATCATCTACTTGAAAGCTCAGTTGTAGAGAGAGGGAAGTAAGAGGGAAATAATGGTACCGACGGCTGCTTGGTAAAGTCTGGACCTAGAACAGGTGACAGAATTGGAGGCCTAGAATTTAATCATTAGGCTACTTTGGAGAAGACAGGAAGTAGAAGAAAGTGAGATTGGCCTCAGGGATTAAGCCCCAGGGTCCTGCTGGTTAGGGGATAGGGATATAGTTTTATTGGGAGTTTTTTGATGAATCCATAATATTATCTATGTGACTACTCCCTCTCATGGTGCATATTATAACCCACCTACAACTTCTTCCGTATAATTCTTGTCTACGTCTTCTCATAAGTCTTTCAAAGAGGATCCTACTGATACAATGCAAGCCTTCCTCTCATTATTTCAAAATCCCATCAATATTTAACTAGTCCATCTATCGGTTATCCCTTGTCCTTTCTACAACACTTGCTGACCTCCTTTTTTTACACATTTCAGTGTGTAACCCATGACCCAGAGCCCTCAAAACTCTGTACTCACCCAGACCGAGTAATGGTGGGTTCCAAAAAGGTCATTATCTCTTTGACTCACATGCCCTTATTCAGAGTTTGCTTTGAGAAATCTCCAAATATGTGTGTGTCTAGATTTCCACAAATGTGAGGAATAGGATCCCAAACTCCTGAACAAGCACTCAAGGTAACAAATTTATATTGGGTAGAGGACAGTCTTCATGTCACCTCATAGAAAAATGCAGAAAATACAAAAGATTCAGAACAGCCTATAAACAAATCCAGAAAATGTATAAGCCGCTCATAATATCCTTTAAGCTCAGTGGAGGCCACATTCTGACATTTTAATGAAATAAATTTCTCCCACATGGTCCAGTCCTTCCTTGACTAACGATGTCATTCTATGACTATATAGTGGAAGGCCATGTAGGACTATACCTGGAAAGCAAACACACCTTGGAACTACTAGACAGGCAATCTCTTTACAATGTACCTTTTCCAAACAATTCACATTAATAATAGGAAACAAAGTACAGATCTTCTGTTCCCTCATCTTGAAGCTTTAATTCTTTACTGATTCTGATTCCTAGTAGTAGGTGCCACATGAGTAAACCTTTTACTGCTCCAAGAGTTGCTCAGAACCCTCTTTCTAAAAGATCAAGTCTCTGAACTCTCAATTTTTTTTTTTTTTTTTTTGCTTTTTGGTGAGGCCATCGGGGGTTAAGTGCCTAGCCCAAGGTCACACAGCTAGTAAATGTCAAGTGTCTGAGGCCAGATTTGAACTCAGGTCTTCCTGACTCCAAGACTGGAGCTTTATCCACTGTGCCACCTAACTGCCCCTTTGGAGCTATTCTTGAGACAGTCCCCCAAAACTGATGCTACCCAAGAAATCTCCCCTTACTGCTAGAAAATAAGATTGTGGGATCATGTCACCTAGAAATTTTCCCTCCTCTTCCTGGGATGCAGAGTTTCAGGAATAATACTGTCCCTAGACTTCAACTTTGGGCCAGGTGGGCAACCATATATTTGCTCGTGTCATGTGTTTCAGCATGAACTCTTGACAGTCCGCCACTGTCATGTCTGCTGTCATCTCATAGATTAGAAAGTCCTCCTCTATCTTCTTGAATCAGGGCAGGGAGAGGCAGGGGTATACTGTCCTTGCCAACCAGTTACCAGTAAATGCTTTCTAAACAGGTGCAACCTGCCCACAACATTTACCTATCTGAAGCATTCAAACGAGCAAAAACCTGGATGCTTTGGGGAAGAAAATATTCCTCAGAATACTTTAGCCTAGAGTGGACAGGTCCACTCTGCTGTACTCTGGTCTGTTGTTTGAACAAGGAAAGGTTAAAACAGGGAGGCCAGCAGGCTGTTGGCTTTCTTTTATAGGCCAGCAAAGAGGGGTGTTTAAACTCTCTGGCCTAGACAAACAAGACTGCCTAGTTGATCTTCCTGACTCAAGTTTCTCTTCCATTTTTAGCTACTAAAGTAATTTTTTTTTTTCCTTTTCTTTGGGGGTGGGGGTGGCCTAGGTTTGAATTTCAGCTTTTTTTTTTTTATTGTGACCTTAAGAAACACACACAAAGGGGGCAGCTAGGTGATACAGTGGATAGAGCACCAGCCCTAGAGTCAGGAGGACCTGAGTTCAAATCTGGCCTCAGATACACAACACTTACTAGTCATGTGACCCTGGGCAAGTCACTTAACCCCATTGCCTAGCCAAAAAAAAGAAAAAAGAAAAAA